CCCCCCCCCCCACCCCGCCCAATCCGGCTCCCACCCGCCGCCCCCACCACCTCAGCCCCGTGTTGGGATCATCACCCACTCTATTCCAAAGCTGAGCCTCCAGGCCCTCATTAACTCTTGGAGGACTCTGTCCTCATCACTGTCTTGTTGCCAGTCAGCTCCTCAATAAACTCTGAGTCATCGCTGAAGTTAGAACACCCTAGGGCATCCCAGGACAGAACCACAGAATTACTCCTTCACTCTGTGAAAACATTATCTAACACCTATCTCCTGCTGTCTCCCCATATCTCTGCACACCATTACTATCCAAAAACTCCAATGTCCTCCTGAATGCCTCAATCGAACCTGCCTCCACCATATTTCCAGGCAATGCATTCCAGACTCTAACTACTCACTGTGTGAACAAGTTTTTTCTCACATCACCCTGACTTTGTTTGCATGTCTCTTTAAATTATGCTCTTGCTCTGGCTTCTCTGACAAGTTCCATTTTCTTCAATCCAGTTCATGTCTGAAGTTTCTCAAACCTGGAATCATTCCAGCAAATCGCTCCTGCATTCTCATTCACATTTTTCCTTTAATGTAGCACCCACACCCATACACAAGACTCCAGGCGAGGTCTAACAGGGGCATAACCCAGACCAGCTGCAGAATGATGGTCAGGATTTGTCACTGTCCCAGGGCAATACCAAGTCACCCCACTGGAGGGAGCACTGTATCAATGCTCAGTCGTGCCATCCTATGGTAGAAATAGGTACATCATCATCATCACCACAACCACAGGAGGCCATTCGGTCCATCGTCAGTGTTGGATTTCTACATGAATAAAGATAAATGAACACAATTTTCTATAAAACATCTGATGAAAAGACTTAGAGGTTCTCTACGCTCAAATGGATTTCTACTCCTTTTGGGAAACTGGAACAGTTGCATTGCACACTCACAATCAATCGGGGCTACCCAACCATAATTGAAGGGCCAGCGAGGTGAAGCCAGTTGACCAGCAGCCTGAAATGGGCAGGGAAGGGTAGGGCGGTGCAAGGGAGGGTGAAAAAACTTGGGGGAGTGGTGGAAGGGACAGGGCCGGACAGAGATAATGGGAGGAGAAAGGCAGGAAACAAAGCAGTGAGAATAAGCAAGTGGAAGGCGTGGAAAGAGGGAAGAGCGCGGTTTGTGGGGAGGGAAGAGCGCGGTTTGCGGGGGGTTTCGGGGGAGGGCAGAGCAGAGTTTTAGGGAGAGGTAAGAGTGAGGTTTGGGGGGATACAGTGAGTTTTGGGGGGAGAGTGGGCTTTAGGGGTGGAGCGTGGGCAGAGCATGGTGTTTGGAGGGGGTGAGACAATAGGGTTTTGGGGAAGGGGAGGCGGGGTCTGGGGGAGGTGAGGCGGGGTCTGCAGGACAAACAGGTTTTTTGGAGGGAAATGCAGGGTTTGGGAGAGTGGGAAGTGCGGGGTTCGGGGTGGTGGGTTTGGGAGGAATAACAGGCTTTTCGGGGGCAAGAACAGGCTTTTTGGGGGCAAGAGCAGTGTTTTGGGGTTGGGTGGATGATTGGGTTTGGTGGGGACAGCGGGGTTTGGGGAGTAAGAGCAGGGCTCAGGGGAGGGAAGAGTAGGGATTCAGGGCAGCAGCAGGATTTGGGGGAGAGAAGAGCAAGATTTATGGGGGAAGAACAACGGGGGAAGAACAACGGGGGAAGAACAACGGGGG